ATATATATATATATATATACATTAATTCAAAGAGAATGAGTCTACATGCATGGTTACTCATGTTAATACACACATTAGAATGCTTTAACCATATGCTATTCTTTAGAAACTTTATTCATTTTTTAAGATTTTTCTTGTATTACTATTATTATATAGGAATTAAAGGTGATAAATCAACAGCAGCCTGACTTCCTACGTGTTCTTGAGCAAGCTATTCGGTTTGGCAACCCTGTATTGCTAGAAAACATTAATGAGGAATTGGATCCTGCCTTGTTTCCAATCCTTACTCAATCTCTAATCCAGCAGGGAGGAATATACATGATCAGACTAGGTGATAAAGAAATTGAATACAACATGGAATTTTGCCTTTACATAGCTACTAAACTGAGTAACCCTGTTTATACACCTGATATATTTAGCAAAACTTCTGTGGTGAATTTTGCCCTCAAAGAACAAGGTAAGTAGGTTTTCTCATATAAATTTCTACCTGTGAAGATATTTTAAGTAACGCTTATGGGACTTTTATTCACTTTAAAAATAAAAGAGCATTCTGTTAACCTTTTCTTAGAACACAAAGTACATGAGATTGCTTTTGTTTTTTTTATTAGCTTTTACTACAGAAAGCAAGTTTACTGATGTTATTATTTTGCCTCAAAAAAACAAATACATAATATTTTTTATGAATTTTGCTTTTGATAAATGGCTGAAACTGTTGTTGCAAAATTTTCAGGCTTAAACAACAAATAACTTGAATTCTTATTAAATGAGCTCTCAAAAAAAATTCAAGGAGATTAGATTATGTTCAATGGTACAACAGTATGAGTAAATTAAGTAACAGAAAGGATTGTTTATTTTTCCCTTTAACTGAACCAACTGGTTCAACTCTGTGTTAGAGAAGTAATGTTGAATATAATTCTGAATTTAAGAAATATATCCCCATGAAATGTGGCAAGTTTTAAGCCAGTAGTACTAGACTGTCATACATAAAAAAAATCAGAAGTGTTACTAAAGCTTTTGTACTAAAGATGCATCTGTGAGCTGCCAAAGTCAGTGTGGTAAGTCAGAGTGCAAAGTGATGTTGTTATGAAGAAAAAATACTTTTGTCCATCATAGAGTTTGCAAATTGTATTTGCATAACCTCTGCATCTTTCTAAATACATATCTAAATTTTTTCCTTATCCATATTTATTGTATCTGGTATTTTCTCTACTCTAACATGAACTGTTATAAAATCAGCAATACAGGGTAACACGACATGTTGATAACCTTGACAACAAATGCATAATACCATGCTGAATGGCACTCTGTACATGGTTGGAGTATGCACACTTTGACCCCCCCACCCATTCACATAGGGTTAAAGAAAAGATAGAATGAGACTTACCTTAAGAGTAAGGTAAATGATACTAGTGCTGTTGATATTTATTTTAATAAATCTGGGAAGATTTCTATTGTAGTTATTTACATCTAAAAACAATTATAATAAAATACATGCACTATTTACAAAATTGTACTTCAAAATAGAGATTTCTGGCCATGTTGGAATACTTGTTTTTGTTTTGTTTTTACATTTTACCTAAATGTTTGGTTTAATTTCTTAATATATTATATTTTTTATTTTGTATAATTTCGTAATTTTAGATTGTTAGAATTACTAAAAGAATACTTTTTACATCAATTACTTAACTATTAGGAAACACATGTGTATCAAATTAAAATGAATGTTTTTTTGCCATAGATAAAACTTATCTGTAGCTTTCCTTATCTTATTATTGTAAATCTTGTTTTCTGATTAATTTCGTAATGTTTTCATAAAATTTACATAAACTAATGTTCATATAATATGTTGAATATATTACATGTATTTTCTTCAATTACTAATTATATTACAAAATAAAAAAATTAGCCAAATTTATATTACAGCATGTATGAGCTTTTGTTATGAGATAAGGGAATATTAACAAATTTAGTTTTTTAATTTTTAGTTTCATCTAATAAATGCTACTTTTTTGCTAAAATTTAAAAAAGTTCTCATTTTCATGTACTTTAATGTCATACCTACATACACGGAAGAATTTTAGTTTTGAGAATTGCACAAGAAAAATTCAATGTGTTTATAAAGCATGAAATAATATATGTTTATTAATATCTAGATATTTTGTATAAGGTTGAAATATTGTTACTTAATTAAATGGCTTAGTTGCTCTGGGTCAAAATATCTGTACTTTTCATGTTGTATTTAAGGTATATTCTGGAAAATTGATTATTTCTAAATCATACAATGAGATAGGTTTGCTGAATAACAAGAGATCAGACAAGATATATATTACACAATAATACATAGTTTATGAAAAAGAAATAAAGAAACTCTACACAATGTAAAATACAAAATACAGATCAGAAAACACAAACAAAGTGTGTTTTTACTTAGATGACTTCTTTCGGATTGCAGCTGTTTTCTATACAAACTTCTACCAAACTGTCAGAATCTAACATTACATACTTAACAGGTAATGTTGAATTTACCCAAAACAGTTTGCATTAGCTATGTGATTAGTCATTTGCAATCAAAAACTTTAAAAAACTTTAACAACAAAACTATATGTCCAACTATAATTTAACACTAATAGAAAATACAAATTTGCAGCCTCAGTGTAAAATACAGCAGCAATACCTTCACAAAAATAAACCCTCATTTTAGCATAAATACACATGAAAATACAATAATTTAATGCCAAACATGTTATGAATTTATCTATGAAAGTCATCCTTTAATAAAATATTTAATAAACACTTCAAAGTTAAACAAAATGCAAAACCTCTTCCTCAAGTTACATCAACAGTTGCAGTATTCTTCTCCTGAGCTGGTCCTCATCCTTGTTGTATAGGGACCAAGCCTTGATCCACCTTGTGGCCATCTCTTCAGAATGTTATTTCAACACCTCAGGAGAAGTCCCTGGTGTTTCTACATCTACTTTATTCCTTCTTCACAGGTGTTACTGCAGTTGTTGGTGGTGGCACTGCAAGGAATGCCTATGCCAAATCTTTAATTACTCTACCCAGATTTAAATGATTTGAACTCCCACATGGTTACCATATTGCAAGCTTGAGGAATACTGTATGACTAAATCATACTCCTGCAGTGCTGTATTGAAGAGTAATATTGAATTTCTCTGAATACCTATGTTTCTAAGAACAAAATAAAGAGACTGGACACACTGTAAAATGCTGAAGCACAATTTATTATAACAAAAAACACAAACTTATGTGTACTTTTTTAGATGATGGACTGTCATCTTTATTGGGTCAGAACCATCATGTCTCCAAACTATATTGAATGGAAACTTTCATAAGACAATTTAGTTCTAACTTACCATATGTAACAGGTAACATTAAATATATCCATATTTACTAGCATTACTCATGTAACTGGGCATTCTCAAGCAAACATAAAGGAGGTTGTAATCTCAAGATATCACCAGAAATTATCATAAGAGAATACAGCTGCCTGTATTCTTGTACAACATGTAACATCACAGTCATACTCCCATAGGTGCAACATGTGCAGTCTCCAGAGAAAGACAAAGGAACAAGACAGCTAGGACAAAACTAACTTGATGGGTTTTTCTAACATGTTATGTGAAAACTTAACAAACACAGCACAACTGATTAAATCCAAAACGTACTGTACTAAAATAAGAAGGTAAAAAAATATATGGTACATTTATATACCACTCACACACACACACACTACAAGCATAATACTTATTGCCATTTTATGAATTTTAAATCACAGGGCTAGAAGCTCAGTTGCTGGGTATTGTAGTAAGAAAAGAAAGGCCAGACCTTGAAGAGCAAAAAGTTAAACTGACTACAGAAATTGCTGCTGGAAGGAAGAAGCTAGTTGAACTTGAAGACGACATACTCAAGTACTTAACAAATATTTTATTTATAAACAAACTAATAGTTTCTTGTTAAAATATACTGTTTTATTTTAGTACTGACACACTATCTCAACTTTCTATTATATATAAAAAAAGATCCAGTTATCTTGTTTTTGTTTGTGTATATATATAAAACAATCCTCACTTTTAACACTATTAAATAATAAATTCCAATAAAGTACTCTCCCTCCTCTCACAAGATTAGCTTTTCTTGTTTTGTGCTGCCCTCTGTATGCAAACTGTTTTCAGAAATGCATGCCACAAGCCTTCATCATCCCTCTGTTGGAATCCAAAATTCTAACACATCATATCCGTTCTCTAAAACAATCACAGAAATGGAAGTAAAACTAGCTATAAAAGCTACCAAAAACAAAGCACCAGGAGAAGACGGCATACAGGCTATCCTCCTCAAAAAAGGCACTCAGAGACTGTATGGACACAGCACTTTTTAATTATCACTAAGTTCTGGATACATCCCAGTTTCTTGGA